CTTGCTTACAAAGTTCTGTGCATCATGACTTTTTCTTTGAGCCTTTCAGTACAATGTATATTTGTACTGATCAGAGGAGACATTATGAAAAAGGTATAATAGAAAATCCGTTTTTCATGATAAATTTGCTCAAATAAGGAGAATAAGGTACCAAAATAGTCATTTAGTATATTAAGAAACGTTGAATTTTGCATTACTGGACAGAAATAGTGTCAACCTTTTCAATTATTCAAAAATCATCATTTTGTAGACTTAATAACTTGCAGTTACATGTACAATACTTAGATATAGGCAACTGCAATACTAGAGATAGTCAGTAGATGGCATCAGTGTGACACCAAATACGAACATTATATTTATATCCATTCATTGTGGTTTTAGGAAATGTTGAAAGAAATTATGGCACAGAAACAAAAAGAGGAGTCTATTTCATAGTATAGCAAGTGAAAAGGTAGACTTTGATTTAGTTTGCAGCTGTATTTGATTAGTAGGAAAATATTTTGGATGTTGCCTTTTTTGCATATCCAATTAACGTTACATTTGATAATATATGTAGTGGCAGATACATGTAGGTCATGTGTTGGTCGAATTACATTCATATGTAACGTTACTGTACTTAGATTTTTAATTATAGATTTGATACTTTTATAGTATTAAGCCATCTTTTTTATCTTTACAAATGTCAACACTTATGCAATACAACTGTACTCCATAAAATATAATGAAAATTGACCTCTGTTGTTAAGGTACAAATATATTGGCCTTGCAATACTGTTATTGATAGTTATCCAATACGGAACAGTATTAAAAGATCTCTTCAATAATAAGCCCCGACAGGTTTAACAATAACCATTTTAGTATATGATGGATCGGCCTGACCATGTTTTTATCGATTTGCTACAAATAGAAAGTCTGCAGGAGCAATATTGAATTGACTATTAAGCCTTCAGAATAATAGTCATTTAGCATCAGATAAATTAACTACATAGTATTTGTATTGATGAAAAGGCCAAATGCATATTAGGTGCCATTTGTAACAGACCATTAGTTTTTGTATAGCATTTAGTGTTTACAAAAACTATAACATTGATGTTATACAGAAACAAGTCTTCATTACTGTTGTCTCAAAAAATGTGTTTTTCACCGGGATTGACCCCACAGAAGGGGCTGATGGGATACGGTCATGTGACGGGCCCCTGGCAGAAGGCCAATGTTATGGCGTCTGGCTGCGTACCTGTTTACGAGTCAACTGTTTAGTAATCAAATGTACGGACAGGTAGGGCCGAGTTTACGTCAAGGTTTCGGGGAGGAGGGAGAGGGAGGGGAGGAAGGAATGAGAGAAGGGTGGACGGAAAAGGAGGGATGGAGAAACAGGTGGTGACCTCTCGGCTGGGTGGCTGGGACAGTTAATGGAATTGGGGAGGGTCAGGATACTGGGGGTAATGATTTTGGTTGATTGGATGGCAATATAGATGGATAGTGTATGGTCCATATGTGCAAGCAAGGAAAAGGGGGTTGTGAACAGAGATAGGCCAGCATGTTCAGTCAGGATATTTCGTAAAGGTTAGCTTATTGTAATTTGGGCTATGGGGCTGGGGGATTTTATATTCTATGACTGTATGTTTGTAAGCAATAACCAAATTTAAATCTAGATGAATAGTGTATGATCCATACATGTATGTGCAAGCAAAGAGGAGGGGATTGTGACCAAAGATAGGCTGTTACATGTACAGTATTACATGTAAGTGTACATGACATGTATGTTATGATGTTTCATAAAGGTTAGCTTAATATTGTTGGGCTATGGGGCTGGGTGATTTTACTATGTTTGTAAGCAATAACTAAATTTAAATGTAGATGAATACAATGTACAATGTCATGTATGTCCAAGCAAAGAGGAGGGGATTGTGACCAAAGATAGACTGTTACATGATTGTACAGTGTACATGACATTGTTATGATGTTTCATAAAGGTTAGCTTAATATTGTTGGGCTCTGGGGCTGGGGGATTTTATAGTCTATGACTGTATGTTTGTATATATGTACATGTATGAGTAAGCAAAGAGGAGTGGACTGTGACCAAAGATAGGTTGTTAAATGTATGTAAAGATAGGTTGTTAAATGTATGTCATAATCATGGTTTTTCGTAAATGTTAGCTTATTGTTGGGCTACAGGCTGGGGGATTTCATAGTCTATCACTGAATGTTTGTTGGGTATAAGATAGTCAGCAATGTAGATGGGCAGCGTATTATCCATATGTGCATGCACGTAGAAGGGGGTTGACTATATGAACAAAGGCCGTCTTCAAGTTGATGTTTCATCAATTTTAGCGAATTGTTGGGATAGGAGGTTGGAGATTATGTAGTCTATTACTGTATGTTTGTAAGCATTAAGATGGCCAGTTATCACATTGAATATTATGGATACTATTGTATGGTCCATATGTGCAGGCAAGGAGGGAATTGTGAACAGAGAAAGGCCAGCATGTTGCGCCATGATGTTTCATAAAGGTTAGATTATTGTCGAGCTACGGGGTTGCATTTTTTGAATCGGAGGATTTTGTTGTCTATGACTTATCAATTATATACGTGTGGATACCAGTGTATGGTCCATATGTGCAAGCAAGGAGAAGGGGCTTGTGAACAGAGATGGGCCCTCATTTTAATGGTGCTGAAATGTTCAATGAAATGTTTAGGAAGGTTAGCTATATGTTGGGCTTGGGGTTGGGAAATTTTGTAGTCTATGAAAGTGTACAATCATATGATTTTTAAGAAGGCTGAGGTTGGTGGGGAGGGGGGCACAACATTTGTATGGGCATGTCTGGTTATGTATGGAGGAGTCTGAGTGCTTGTTAAAAATCCAGTTGTCTGTAGAATTGCTTATATCATAATATTTTGATCAGCAATACCTTAAGCCTTGTAAATTAACAGTCTGTCACATCAAGATCTATGTGTCCTAATGGCTTCTTGGTAAGAGAAGGTAAAATTTAATAGAATGTGAAGGTTTGCTTGTCGAATACTTGACATGTACTTCCTCTGTGAAAATCTTTGGGTTCAGAACCCTCCTGAACCCAAAATAACCTTAAGGTTCACGTCAGATTTTTAACCGGGAGAACCCAAACTTTCCCAGTTCAATCTCCAGATGAACCCTGGAGAACCTGCCTGAACCTTCTTAATGGGTCAAAATGGGTCCGATTTGGCCGGTTCTGGCCATTTTAACCCAGTAAAATCAGGTCAAAATGAGTTCTGAAGGGCAGGTTCTGAACCCACGGGAACCTGCCCTGTCAACCTGCTTTAACCCTCCGGCCGGACCCGGCTGAACCGGCTGGCGGCACCCGGGATTGGCGGTTGTCATGGCAACAAACCCGGGAGAACCCGCTAGCGAACCTGGCTTGACCCGCTGGCCCACCCCTGGGAATAGCAGTTGTCATGGCAACAAGCCCGACAGAACCCGGAAGGACCCACTTAGCGCATCCAGGAATGCCCCCCCCCACCTAACGTATCACAGATGCTGCAGAGGCGTCTCGCGTAACAATAAGTTAGAGCGTCTTGATAAAACAGCGCTAGCATGAATCTGAACAAGGAGGCCCTAAAATATCCAAGTTGTTGGGAAGATGCAAGACACAATGTATGTATTGTCTTATTTCCTACCTTTTTGTTGGATTTAATACAAACAACAATACTTTCAGCTTAAAATACACACACAAATTGAACAAGTTTATTTACATCAAAAAACCTACTTTGTTTTTTAATCTGCATGAGCAACATACATGTAGGTCTTTTCAACATATTTATAGTTCAGAAAGATTCCTTATAAGGCCTGGCAGTTGAGTTGTTATTACTTTGTTGATCTAATGCTACCTATTTTTCAATGTGCAAACAGTAGCCTGTTTTCAAAGAAATTCACACTGAGGGGGTGGGGGGTTGTTGAACTTACCTTGAAGTAGAATCTCCGTTTCCTGAGTATTCCCTCTTCCATACATGCTGTAACTTTCCCATTGTCTTCACCAAGCCTCTCTTCTTCATTTCTCTACACAAGTTTAGCTTGAAAACTGCCCTGAATGATTAAAACTGACACAAACACAGAGAGAAAAGCAGACTTCCCTGTTCCTCTGGCTGAGAACTGGCTTCTGGATTCAAATTTTGAACCAACTGTTCTCTCAGTACAAATGCACCAATCACCGATTTGGTGAAGATCATGTGATATTCTCATTATTTCCAGGAGGTAAGGAAATGTTATCAATTAAGAAGGTTGGGCGAGCTGAACCTGTTTTAACCCTGAGTGAACCCGCTAATGAGGGTTCAGAGTCACAGGACCGTGGCATTTCTGAACTCACTAATTTTTACTAGAACCCACTTTAACCCTTGGAACCCAATCGAACCTTATTTAACCCATTTTGACCGGGTTGGCAGGTTCTGAACCCAAAGATTTTCACAGAGGTTATTTATTATTCCTTGTTTTTTTCCTATTCCAACATCACAATACATGGTGACGACACACTCAAGTTTTTCCAACTTATTTTATGCCGCCACCAACACAGACATACATAAATAATTTCACTTTAGTTAAGTGAGGAAAGTTGTGTTAAGTGCCTTTTCCAGAGGCACAAGATCGGTGGCATGGCAGGGTTCGAACCCGGGACGTTTAGGTTCCGAGTCAACCGTTATGCCATGCGACCTCCCTAGTTTCATGCATTGCATTTTGTAAACCGGATCCTAACCATTATGCAGCAAGTTCAAACTGTAATTTCCAACACAAGAAATTAGACTCACCCAAATTTTCAACTGTACCACTCCAGTCTTTGTCAAGGAATGAACAATCCACCGCTTCCGTGACCTCACGCAGATAACACACGTGACTCCGTGAGCAGTGGATCATAGGTTGCAGAAAGTCTGTGGCGCCCCCGTCTCTGTTGAGGGATGGTTGTAATGCCCTGATGTAGATGGCCTCTTTAATCCCTCATGCAAGTGGATCCTAACCATGTATGATTTGTGTGTAGGTACTGTTGGACCTGGAGACTGCCCCACTGGACGATGAACAACACTGGTACGTGCTGGACCAGCACAAGAATGCCCTGCCGCCCCCCAGCCCCACACGCAGGAAGAACACAGCGCCCGGACACCATGCCAGCGTCTTCGACTTTTTGGACGAAGGTGAGGTTTTGTTATCAAGAACGAGGCTTGAACCGTATTTCGAAGTGCTGTGGATAGATCACGTCGACAGAACGTACTGCACCTGCGCGAAACCTTTGGCAGAACGTCCCATGTAAGGTTGTATTCGTGTATATAAGGTCAACATTCCAGCTGTAGTTTCCAAATGTCATGTTGGAAAAGATATCGTCTGCAACAGGCAAAAATTCTGATGCAACGTTGACCAAAAATCCAACAAAAAAATGTGAAAAATCGGGGTTTCGTCCAGGCACAATAAGTTCTGCTGACGTGCTTGTGGATAGTACAATCAAACCTGTACTAGTGACCACCTAGTTAGTTAGTATGGCTGTACTTTTATTCACCAGAGTACATTTAGGTGACTGTGCCAAACTTTTCTCAACCTTCTCTTTACACCAAACATGTCTTGCCACCATTTCTACCCATCCATTTCATCTTCTAGCTCAAATGGGTACCATCCTTTTTTATACCAGGGCCCTCTTGCTATTCTTTCAAGCCAGCAAGTAAAAGGAACCCCTGAGTAAAGAGACTCTCTTTACACAACCAAGTGTTTTATTCACAGCAGACGTTTTGGTGACCGTCTGTCACCTTCCTCAGGGCAATTCTGACTGGTTCACATTGCATTGCAGCAAATGTTGTGCAATGTGAACCAAATCTTTCTGAGGAAGGTGACAGACGGTCACCAAAACATCAGCTGTGAATAGAACACTTGGATGTGTAAAAAGAGTCTCTTTACTCAATGACTTACCAACCTTATGAAACTATTCATGGATATGAGGAGCCCCGTTTCAAATCGGATGGCACCCAGGCTAGACATCATCATGTTTTGTGAATAAGTCTTTAGTACCACTACATCATCATCATCATTTCCAGAAGCGAGACAAGAGTTCCTCCACCCCCCACCCCTGCTGAAACTGCCCAGTGACAGTGATATTTCCGACTTTGACTATGATGTCCTGTGCTTCCCACCAGGTGACCCCCCCACAGTTCTGTCCAGCTGTCTGTAAAGCCTCCAGTTTAATTCTGGACTTCTATTTTAATTACCTTCGCCAAGAAGGTTAATATGTTTTCAGAGATGTTCGTGTGTGTGTGTGTGTGTGTGTGTGTGTGTGTGTGTGTGTGTGTGTGTTTGTGTGTGTGTGTGTGCATCTGTAGACACGATAACTTGAGAAGGCTTAAATGGATTGTCTTGATACTTGGTAGGTTGGTAGGTCTTGATGAGACCCGGAAATGATTAGATTTTGGATCCTCTAGCAGCTTGTTATGGTTCTGCAGCTGAACTTTGATGATCAACCCAACTCTGCAGAATTCTGTGGCTCCAGTTCTCAGAATTCTGGCTCCAGTTCTCAGAATTCTGCAGAATTCTGGATCCAGTTCCAGAATTCTGCAGAATTGGGTTAATCCTCAAGGGGTCCTTGATGGCTGCTACATAGTTCTTACATTAGTTATGCGAATTAGTCCAGAATTAAACTGGAAGTCCAGAATTAAACTGGAGGCTATTCTGTTCTGTTCTGTTCTGTCTAATATTTCACAGCTGCCCAGTGGTTGTTGCTGATGACTTGTACTGTGTTTCTGTTGCAGGTTTCTACATGTGCAGCTTGTAGTCCCATAGCCTGAACTCCTTGTTTTTTTTGGGTAGTTGAAAACTAATTGCGTGTGTTATTCCTGGGTACCCAAGCTATCCATGTTATAGAGATACATATTATTAGATACAGTCAAGCCTGTCCAAGTTACCAGCTCTACATAAGGACCACGTGGCCAATGTGACGTGATTTTCCCTTCTGATACAAACATTAAGTGACCACAACAAAGACCAGATTTTTTCGGCCTCCTGATCAAGAGAGTCCTCGAATTCTTGGGCAGTTTTGACTGTAGTTAGATCTAGTCTTTACTAGAGTCAGCTGGCATCAGAAAGTGTTGAATTTTATTGTAGAATCCACTATCATTCATAAAATTTCAGGCGTTGGCCAGTGTCTATGTTTTTATTGCTTCATTGTGATGTCCATTACTTTTAGTTGTTTCCATGGGTTATGGAAAATTCCATGTCAGAATGTTAACCTTTGACCTCTGACCCCCACAGCTGAACTGGCCAATGCCGGCATGCGGAGGGATGATGTCAGCATGACCAATTCAGGCTACGGCACCATCATGGACCACGGCCGTAACCCTCACCATGGCCGGCGCAGGTCTCATGACATGGACATGTACGGTCCGCCGGGAAACCACAGAAGAGGGCCCTCTGGTGCCTACAGAAACAGCGGTAAGTCAGTCAATAGTTTCATAAGGGGGGGGGGCTGCAAGGGGGGGGGTCCCGACAACGCTCTACGCTGAATTCGGAAACTTCACATTACGCTTTACGATAAATTCCAAGTGGCTACAATGCACTACATAGAATTAGAACGGCGAATAGTATACGCAAAATGCGCCAATTACGCTCTACGTCGAATTAGAGCAGTCCATCTACGCTCTACATAGAATTAAAACGGCCGATTACGCTCTATGGAAGAGGGCTTGCGGGCCCCCATCAGGTTGGTAAGTCATTGAGTAAGTCCAAGTGTGACCACAATTATGTATATACATGTATCCATCTCCTGTACATTTTGGACCGCATTGTACACTGTAGATACATTTCACTGTTCAGAACACCTAGTTGCAGTACGAATCAGAACAACCAGTCATTGTTGCTCTGAAGAAGGTAATAGATGGTCACCAAAACGTTGGATGTGTAAACCCACTAAATAAAGAATCTTCTTAAAATATACAGTAAGACAGGTCAATGGACGTTATACATGTACATGTACATCTAGTTAGAACATCAAGTAATACAAAATAAATCAAACAAAATTAATGGATAAATTGTCCAAAGAGTCTGATATTTCAGATGCCATTTTGCAAGGAAGTCTGTCAAATTTTATTGACGCCGCCATCTTAATTAAATCTCAATCAAGGAGATGTTTTAACGACAACCCTGCAGCTATGTTGTCAATACCAAAAATATACCCTATATTTAAATGTACATTCTTTCAACCTATTTTGATGGTTGTAGGTATCTTTTATGGAGTATATTTGGTATAGATATACATGTACCAACAACCGTATTTTCAGCACCCAGGACATGTCCTATACTGCTACTACATCAACCTATTGTGATTTAAATGTGTTTTCTAGTGTAAATTTAAGCATTGTTATCTTCATCATATGAGCATGAAAAGAACCTCAAATTTTGCTGTATTTCATTAACCCTTGTCCTGCTGGCATTCCTGGCACAACATTTTTCAATAATTTCATGTCTTAATTAGATCACAGACCCTCAATTTTTTTTGCTCTGCAGTGGCATAGTTACTTCCGCATTTGTTGCGTTTCGCTGCGGTATGATGCATTGCACGAAAAATACCCCCAAATCGTACCTATACAGGGTGTTACATAGATGGTACTGCATGTGCACAACAACAATTGTTGTGCTCCGCAGGACAAGGGTTTTAAGAATCTCTAAGGTCATGATGACAAGAAAAGTTGATTGTCTGTATGAGAGCATCTGCGGAGACTGCGAATGATCTGCATACACCCCCTGGTCTATCCTAATGTCATTTACATCTATCCAATGCAGTAGTCTGACCGATTTTTGTGTAGAAATTCTGCATTAAGTACATTGCAGCATGCATAAATCGTACAAGCAAAGTGCAAGCTCACCATCCTTTGAGTAGACGTCTTCCTTTCGTGCGGTGTGGTCAAGACGTTTCGTAGGACAATGATAGGAGATTTGGTGCATTTGTCTCAGTCTGTATTAGCGTTGGTGTAACACACCAGATTTGCAAGCAGTTGGCGGTAGCTTATTTACTGCATCGAACGGTCGGTCACACCCAACCTGTGCTCTACTAACTCAAGGTGGTACTTGTAGCTATCTGCTGAAGATGTCCCTCTGGAAAAATACAGGGCATTCAGAGTACTTCACTAGTAAGGTAAAGGTAAGGTACTGGTTCTATAGCCTTTTTGAGGCTGTAGGGGCCATGGGTTGTTTAATCCACTGTACGTACATGCATGTCTAAGGCACAGTATTGGTAAGCTACATTGTAAGCCCATCCCTCTCCTTCCTCTGCCTTTACATTGTACCTCCCCAACCAAAGTCAGGTACCCATTTTACACCTGGGTGGACTGAGGAAAGCTGTTTAAAGTTTCTTCCCAAAGACAAAACGTCTAGCCAGTCTTGTGTCTGCTAACCTAACCTCTCAGCCATTATGTCTAAGATGTTAATGTCTGATGGATGTTCCTGTCTTGTACTCGGCAGTGAGTAACTTACGAGACGAGTATCCCCGCCCCCACCGCGGCAGCAAGCAGCTGGACGACAACCTTCCCGTGCCGGACCAGGTGCCTCGCAGATCCCGCTCAGCCTCCCCTGTCAGTCACACAGGTAAACACTCACTCACTCACACTCACACTCACTCACTCACTCACTCACTCACTCACTCACTCACTCACTCACTCACACACCTCACAGATCCCGCTCAGCCTCCCCTGTCAGTCACACAGGTAAATGCTCACTCACACTCACTCACTCACTCACTCACTCACTCACTCACTCACTCACTCACTCACTCACTCACTCACACACTCACACACACACACACCTCGCAGATCCCGCTCAGCCTCCCCTGTCAGTCACACAGGTAAACACTCGCCCACACTCAGGCGTATAACAATAAAAAATATAGATTTGATGCAAATCTCCTATACTGTTGGAGCCGATGTACGCTATATATATAGCCTCGAGATTCAGAACTCCAGTCAGAATCTCTGAGGAAGGTGTCAGATAGACACCAAAAGGCTCAGCACTTAGGTGAGAATCTTAAAACCTGATGGAACTATTTTTGGAAATTCTCAGATTACTTGTTTCAACAAGAGCGTCAAGCAGACATGGCTCGCCAGCGCTCGCCGTCCCGTGGCTCGGCCCGGTCGCGCTCCCCGGCCCAGGACTGGAGGAGCGACGGCCGTGGGATGTCCCCGGACAGAATGATGGGCGGAACGATGGACCACCCCAGGAGGTCACGGTCGCCTGGGCGTCAATCACCGTACGCTACCGGGGTGAGCTTTGTTTTTTTTAAATTTTTTTATTGCATTTCACAAAAGGATACATAAAACAAAACAATGGCATTGCTTTTAGAGCTCTACCAGGCAGCCAAAAGTCTATGAGCCAGTTTGAAAATGCCAGCATTTATCCACACATACAAAGAAAAAGGCTGTTTTCAGTTGGTTTGGCTGCACTCACTAAAGGGGTCTCAGACTGGGCCTTCTGGGCAGACACCAATTTGTGACCTTTGCCCTGTTGCCTTGAGTTACTGGTCAGGAGTGGGTTACAGACGATACTACATATGGTATGTTAACTTTTATTTGTTTCCATGGTTACAGCCTCGCCGTGGGCCGAAGTCCATGTCCCAGCCGACCTCCCCGACCCACGGCATGCGAGACCTCTCCCCGGGGTCCACGCCCAACACGCCTCGCAAGCGCCAGCTTCCACAGATCCCCATGCAGTTGAGAGGTCAGTATTATACTTATAGGAGAAACAACCAACCATTGTTTGTCAATATCTGAGAGGAGAAACAACGTTGTATACCATGGTCTATTCTTTTCATTCCTCACAATTCAAATCTTCACTTAGAGATTATATTGTGCCTTAAAAGCTTGTTTGAATGCCTCCACTCTACAGGGAAAAGCTACGGGTAACCATATACACATGGTCCTGTGGTTAAAAGTTTGTTTCCCTGCAGGTCCTCCTGGCCCCATGGATGAGCGGACTCGACAGATGAAACTGAGGATGGACGAGTACAAACGCACCACTAATGCCGGCATGGAAAGTCCTGCCATGGTCAGTCCCTGCACTTGAAAAATGTCTCCTTTATTTAATGGTTTGGTTGATGTCAACACCAGCTGTTTATTTTAGAAGGCAGGCCAGGCCACCCGTAAAGTATCGCTGTGTATTTCAGAAGCTGTAAGGTGAACCATAAATTTTGATAAAAAGATTTTGTATGCCAAAAAGCCTTGACAATGTGCAATCAAAGGCAACCTACATGTAGTTTCTCCAATAATCTCGCACAGAAAACATGACTTGCACAGCGAGAATGTAAAAGATTAAGTGGGTATTTTGAGCCCTGTTCAGTCTTTCATCTCTAACAAGAATTCAGAGATTTCATACCTCCATGAAATATGTAGAGGTTATGTAAATGTTTTTTAGGGGGGCTAGGGGGACAAAACCCACACCACTTATTCCTGACAGGAAAAGCTATCTGTCACCAAAAATCCAAGACCTTAGCATGTTCAGGTCAAAAGATTGAAAAAACGTTCTGTTGCAGTATCAAGGTCAGCCACCAGGAGGCCCATAATTGACCTTGACCTTTGTCTTCCTACGACCTACCAACATACCAAATATCATCACAATCCATAAAGGCGTTCCGAAGTTATGCTGACTACAAATGTGCAGAAACACAAACACATAGACAGACACACAGACAGACACACAGACAGACACCCCAAAAACAATACTTCATGGAGGTAATAAATGATAACTACATTTATGTCCTACCTGGGCCGCGATTACGTTCGATACGGGTGTTCCGGCCCGTGTGATAACTAGCGGTACGGCCCGGGGGTTCTTAACGCGTATGGCCAGGGGCTTCCAAATGTTCCATAGAACGATTCGAACGCGTTTCGCCCTAACCGCGTGCAACGCTTTCGAAAATTCGAATGCAAAATTCGAACGTTGGAATTGATGTTGTTGCACTTTTTGGGTTTAGGGACACCAACTTTCTGCTCATTTTGCATTGAAAGGCGTGTTTTCTTGGGTAGGTATGACATAAATAAAATACAACACGGTGTATTCCGCATCACCCTCGGTCCCAGCCCTCCCGCGGATCGGATCTCCCTCCGGCCTTCGGCCGTCGGGCTGGTACCTCGGGCGATACGGAATACACCGTGTTGTATTCTATATGTATAATAGAACTCCTCCAACAGTAGACCTCTCTTGTTTCAGCAACGAGTACGTCGGCAGAGCCCTGATGCTGCTTCAGTGGACAGTGACATAAGTGACGTGTCGGAGATTTCACGTGCTAGCACCGTCTCCAGAATCAGCACCACTAGCGCACCGTCGGTACAGTCTGAGCGATACTTGCCTCGTAACGAGAGACACGGAAGACACAGGTAACTTTCTTACGGCGTTCTTTACCAAGCTCCAGGCCTAAGCAGTGAAAACGCTTGTTTCTCATACACTCACATTGTGTTTGTGAAACTGTGTAAGATTTTGGCATTGAAAAAACATTCGGTTGAAGTATTGGTAGAAAAAGCACAAACAAAATGTCTGCCATTTGATGTTGGGAGGGAAGCGTCGTTTGTCAAATTCAGCCTTTGTTTCACGTAGAAAACCAAACATGCATCACCTATAACGGGATATAAGATCTAGTAAATTGTGCTTGAGAAACAAGAATGCCATTGTTTGGCCACAATATTCAGTACATTGAACATACACATTACAGCATATTGTTTGGCATACAGTCAAACCTGTACAAGTGACCACCTCTACATAAAGGACTACCTGGCCATTGATATATAATCAAAAATATACATTCAAGCTAGTGACCACCTCTACATAAGGACCACCTGGCCAATGTGCCCACTATCTGGCTCGTTCTATTGATAATTTTTCCTATTGGCATATTGAAGCATATAAAAAATCCTGTCTATAATGACCAGATTTTATCGGTCCCCCAAGTGGTCTTCTTGAGCAGTTTTGTCTGTACTGAAACCTTTATTAGAAACAATATATTTCATCCATATCATGGTATGGAGTGAAATATAATTATAACAAACAAGCTGACAGGGACTCTCTATGACATAAACCTCCTCACTAACTCTGCTCAGAACTGCTAACTAACACTAATCCTCTGCATTTTACCCATTTTACCCATGTTGTAGTTCTAACCTGAAGATGAACTAACAACGTTAGCTCACACCATGCCCCCCATCTTTCGTACAATTATTTAACAGTAGAGTTTCAGCCTATTGTAGTATATGCATGGAGCCCCTACAGTGTAACTTCTCTCGGACAGTTTTAATCATAAAGTTATTATAATTAGTTTATAGAATAACAAGGTGCATGTGGTACCGAAGCATCATCCCCCTCTTCCCTTGTACGCATGTATTTTTTCCTCATCAATTTTGACACCATTCTGTGCATGAGACTCAACCAACCAAACTGCTTGCAATAAGAATCATAACAGAACTAAATATTAAACCTATAACAGGATCACTAACCACTCACTACTCTGATAGCTACCTTTTGTATAGTGCCAACGTTAACTAAAGTCTCTTTCTATCAAAAAGGCCTACACATTGCAATCATTATGCCATTGTGTAAATTAATGCATGGTTGATATGTTAAAAGACACAACAGACTAGTGTTACAATGTACAACATTGTATTGTTTCAACATTTGGCCTTTCCTCATACATTACACTGTATTTGCTACATGTACATGATGCTAGCATGTTGTCAGCTGTTTCAATGGTGGTAATCACACGCAGAAAAGTTCTGAATGTTTCTGTTGCTCTGTCACTGTTGCCATTCAACCCTAGGGGCCAGATCGTGTAGGGGTCAGATCGAACTTACCAGGCTGCTTTGTAATTCAAACAATGAATTTCAAACTTCTAATCAAACCACTGCCTTGATAGATGGAAAAACTGTAACAAGTCTGAAGAGAAGGAACTTCCTTCAACTGTTGGGGCCAAAATATTGAGCATTTTGGTGTTGATTCAGAGTCTGAAAATGTTTTTTTGTAATCGGAAAAAAAGCGAAGCAGATGAATCCGAGAACCAACAAATTAAATTGGTGTGGCCTTAGGGGGAGGAAAAACTGTCATGTCTGGCCCTCGGGGTTTTGCCATTCTGGTGTTGCTTCACTGTCTGTGCTTCAATGTTACCATCTCTGCCTCCCTGCCTTCCCTCCATGGTGCACCTACAGAAGGCATGACTCCAGAAGTCAAAGGTATTTAACCATACACAGGTCTCAGTCTTGTAGAGTAGCAGTGTATGTGTGAATGTGCAATCATCAACCATGTACTAGGTAACTGTGGTGAGAATTTATGGCAAATTCTTACCCATTCTACAATGATCTTTTTTTTTATTTTGAATATACTCTTCAAGTTTCGTGAAAAGTAACATCTGATCTACTGTGTACCTTTCAAAGGGGCATGAATTTAAAGGTGCAAATGGGATTTATTCAATTCCCACAGGACTTTTCTCACAAATTTAAGTGTTGATGAAACTTATAACACTTTGAATGGGCTGTCTCAGTGTGATATGGGTGGTTCAGATGGGTAAACCACTGGCCTATTTAGCCAGAACACAATCCCTAGTAACCAAATCCCTGCGATGTACATACATGACTACATATTGTGTGTATAATATGTAGAAGTATTGTTTTATCATTGTTTGACCACTTCACTGCATTTAAACCATACATGACTAAACTGACTTAAGAAGGATGTTATAAAGGAACAGGCTGTTTCTGTAGAAAACAGTTGGAACAGTAGACAATAGTCTTAGTTAGGACATTAAACAATTATTACATAATTAAGGCAGTATAGATTTAGTCATGTCTCATAATATAATGTGCATAGTCCAGTGGTAGTTATTTAGATCCTGTCCCTTGACCAAGAAGTCATGAGTTCGAATCCCATCTGTTGTCGCTCACCTGACATGCAGACTACTGGGAAAGGCCACAGTCCTTAGGATGGGATCTTTATACATGTAATTAAGGCATACATGTAACGAGCATACATATTGTAGAATCATGATTAGGCCATTCTATCTAGTGTAAAGAATTTCTGAGGGAACGAAATAAGACAATGACATGTTTCAACTTGCTATCACTGCTATATCTGTCATCTTCTTCATTCACCATTCTATCATTCTCTCTCTCTCTCTGCTAAACTTTTTCCTTCGCTTTCCTTTCTCACATATAGTGTGGAGAACACACCCATGCACAGGTACTACATGTTCTTCTTCCATTTCACTCTATTTGTCTTCCCCTGTCATGTAGCCTGGGTACCATGCTCTGTAGTCTCTGCCTTTTAGCATTGTTGCTACCATGTACATGTAGCAAAAAGGAAGGGCCAACAATAACTATGGATTACGGTGCCCTGGCTACCTCTCATTCACTCATGTTAATCTACTGCGTACATTTCTTTAGATTTCTCCTTTTCTTCCTTTGGACTGCCCTTTGTAGTTTCTAGGTGTTTCATATAGTTGTCACAAAACCGTATCCCTATATAGTTGGCAAGCTTACTACAGTTGGCAAGTATAGTATTTGTTTTGAAAGCTGATTAGATTTTGTTTTACATGTATTACTACTAACTACTTCTAAAACAACTTCACAGAATTTGTTTAAAAAGAGAACTTAGTAAAGTTCATATTTAACTGTATGCCCTCTACAAAAGTAGCAAAATACACATTCCGAACTAAGGTATTTCCTCTCTTATACCAGACCCATGTGGGAACATAACTCATATCCTGGCAGGTACTTTGAATTCTCTTTCACAATCATGCATGAACATACTTCAATTGCATTTGACATGTACATCACATAACATAATTCTGTGATACTTTGTAAAATGTATCTAGTACATGTCTTGAACCTCTTTTTTTGTCATCCTTTCATTCATTACTTCACTCTTTCCTTCCATCACTCTCATTGTGGTTATGTTGTGTCTCTCTCACTGTGGTCTCTCCAAGTGTGGAGGGTACACCCACTCACAGGTATACATATTATACATGATACAACCTTTCACTTTGAAAAAAAATTCTTTAGCTTTATATACAGTGTACTTTCACTGCTTCCCATTCATTCACTCCCTGCATGCCATGTGCTTTCTGTTACACAGACCTCTAAGTCATATTCACTATTTCTACTTTCAAGAAAATTCTATGAAATTTTATTATTTTTCATATGGTGTGTTTGTCATTGGGTAAACACAAATAAAGTGAATCTGTTCGCACTTTTATTTTTCTTCTTCATCCATCTACATCTATATCTCTTAGGTCCATGTGGGATAATACCAGCACATATACTGCCAGGTACCCATATATTAGCCCTGTAATATTAGACAAAGAAATCCAAGTCATATTTTTGCCACTTTTCTCCATCTTTGATCCATTCTGCTCATCATCATCATCATCATTACATTTTCATCTCCCAAAATGTTTTTTCAGTCTCAGTGTAGAGAGTACACCTACTCACAGGTACATGTAGTTTTAATTGTTTCACATCTTCTACCAAACTTTTTCGCCTGTAAGCCTATGGGTTTCAAATCTGTACCGTTTTTGAGAGGAAAATGGGTTTAATGAAATTTAAAGTTCAAATATAAGAAGACACCGATATTTAGTCTGAATCTAACTATATTTACAGGTCTATGTGGAACAACACTAGCACTGTCAGGTACTCAATCCTACCTTAAAGAAACACTAGATACATGTATGTCTTGTAGAATCTTTTAGTCAATATTTCTGTTTCTAAAGCATAAGAAATTACATTTCTCCTCCTTTTTATACCATGATCTTTTCAATCATCCATCAGTCATTAATGTGCTCAATTATCTATTCATCCATTCATTCATTCATTCACTCATGGTCATCTGCAGAAGAGAGGAGTCATACATTGAATCAACAAGGTGTCAAAATTCCTTCCAGTCAAAAAATAGCATATCTTTCAGCCTTTTTTTTTACACAAGTAGCTCATTTTTTAATTTAAAGGTACTGTTAAGTATATTGTATTTCAAAATATTCATCTCCTGAATTCATTCCACTTTTTGTCCTCATTTTTGTGTTCATTCATGGATGCATTTTCTCTTGCATTTCCACTTAAACCAGACGGGGCGAGCCTGTTATAAGGGATCAAATATCATCAAGGTGTCAAAATTCTTCCACTGCATTTCTGCAGTTTTTGTGAACAATTCCATTTGCTTTCTGCTCACTTTATCAAATTTGAAAAATAAAAAAACATAATAAATTTAATGCTCCATCTTCCTGGCAACATATTATTCTCTACCAACATCTCGAATAGAAGGTGTCAGACTCCTTTTACTTAACTGCAACTTTTGGTAGTTTTTAATTTACGTACTTTATGCTGCTGTCATCAACCATTTCATTCATTCATTCACTCATTCATATTTTCACTCATTCATCTTTTCATGTATCCATACATGTCTGTTAGAAGAGAGGATTTTACCAGGGAAACATCAACCAGGTGTTAAAATTACTCTTAATCTAAATATTTTATATTCATCAAGGTGTCAAAATTCTTCCACTGCTTTTCTGCAGTTTTTCTGAACCTATGCTTTCTGCTCACTTCATCAAATTTGCAAAATAAAAAAACATAATAAAGTTAATGCTCTATCTTCCTAGCAACATATTATTCTCTACCAACATCTCTAATAGAAAAAATTTTAAAAATTTAAATTTTTTTTTTAAATATCTCTCCACATTACAGGTCTATGTGGAACAACACTAGCACTGTCAGGTACTCCCTAATCCTTTTCAGACTTAATAAAATCTGTCCCAAACCATTTAAGGTTTTGCCATTCTTTGTCTCCCTCCTTTTTAAACTCTCCATCCATTCTTTCATCATTCATTCATTCATTCATTCATTCATTCATCCATCCATCCATTTATTCATCCATTCATTCAATCAGAAGAGAGGATCCACTTATGGAACCAACAAGGTGACAACATTTCTTCCAGACTAAAAAATTCAGTGGAGTCTTTTTGTGAATACATGTAGTTCAGGATTGAAGCAATTTTTTTACAATAATCCTCCTAAATCCATTCCACTTTTTATCTACATCTCTTTTTCATTGGTCCTATTGTTAAGTATTAATTTTTCTCCTGCTTTTCCAAAATAACCAGACATAGGGAGCTAGCTGTAAGAGATCAAATATCATCAAGGTGTCAAAACATTTCACTGAATATCTGTCAATTTCTTCTGCTGTTTTTCCATGGAACTAAGAACCCTTCTAGGTTCCATTCAATTAAAAAAAAAGTTTATCATTTCATTCATAACTTAGTCATTCATTCTTTAATTCATTACTGTCTCATTATGTTTATCATTCTACGTAGTAGAAGACAAGATTATACAAGAGAACCTCCTTCAGCAAGGTGTCAGACTCCTTTTACTTAACTACAACTTTTTGTAGTTCTTAAATTACATACTTTGTGCTGCTATCATCAACCATTTCATTCATTCATTCATTCATTCATTCATTCATTCATTCATGCATCCATCCATTCACTCATTCACTCATTCATCTTTTCATGTATCCATACATGTCTGTAGAAGAGAGGATTTTACTAGAGAAACATCAACCAGGTGTTAAAACTACTCTTAATCTAAATATTTCATATTCATCATTTACCCTCTCTTACAATTAGCAATTATCCAATCAATTGAATAATTATATGTGACCCATTAATCAATTAACTAACCCAACAAAGAAGTAAATATGTATAACTATTCAATCAAGTTCATATATCCATAATTTTAATTTTTCTTATAGAAAAGAGGAACCAGTCAGGGAGCAAAATTTACAACAAAGGTGTCAATTGAAAGTTTTTTCTTCTGAATTCCATAACAGTTTTTACAAATTATATAATTGTTTTCTGCATATTTCTTTGCATTATACATTTGAATCTCTTATCCATTGTACTTTTAGCAATAAACAATTCTTCTATTCATTAATATTACAGAAGACAGGAGCCAAATAGGGAGCAAAATTCACAACAAAGGTGTAATTTTTTTTCTGAATAAACTGTTTTTACAATAATCATATTTTTACCATTAGCGTTTTGTGTGAGAATTCCACACTTTCAGTAATGGACAATTTTTCCCATCCATTATTTTTGCAGAAGACAAGAGCAAGATAGGGAACGAAATTCACAAAGGTGTCATCATTTTTACATTTTTCTACGGTCATTTCTTTACATAATATCTAGATGCATCTATTGGCATACATTTTATCAGAACCTTGTACTTTCATCAGTAACAAACAGTTTTTCATGTATCATTTTTGCAGAAGAACGGAGCCTAATAGGGAGCAAAAATCACAAAGGTGTCAATTTTTTCTAATAATATGCATTTTGTCCAGTTTCAACCATATAATGTCATGCATATAACTACTCCATACACCTAGAATCCTGATACATGTAATCGAATAATAGGGTAAAATAATGCTAATAAAGTGGCAAAGTTAAATCAAAGAAGTAACTTAGTAAGTAAAGAATAAACCCAGTTTGCCCAAATGTTGCATCACCTCACCATCTTTGCACCAATTCATGCAAATTTATTCGAATTTGCATGCAAGTTTATTCAAATTAGTCCACTTCATGTCACCCATTCATTCTGCCTTTTGTTATGTCTATCCTTCTATTCTGTAGTCTAGAGGAGACAGATTCACCAAGGTAGATGGTTTTAACTGTCATCATCTGTTCTCATTTTCACCTCATCTCTATCCTTCAGAATGTTAAGGTTTAATTATTATACTGTAACAGTGAAAAGTCTTTTGCGTGTAGAAACTGCAAAATATGAAATTTCAAAATCCACAGGCATAGGTTTCCATAACTGTTTTGCAAATGCAGAGAATCAAAGTAAGACATTACAAACTAAGGCATAAGTTGGTATGTTAAACAAAGCTAGATGTACAATGTATAGTACCATGCTGCAGTTATACTCCATACAATTCCTCATTTCTTCCTCTCAAAAGTCTTCTACCTCTAGGGAGAACAAAGTATGGTAATTTTGTAGGTTCCATTGCATCCACAGTCTTTCATTTTTATCATTAGGCCACACCAATTTAATTTGTTGGTTCTCGGATTTTTTCAGAAAAAATATGAAGCGACAGGGCGAAAAAAAATAAAAACAGGTCTAGGCATCCTATTATAGCCCCAAATGCTACAATATGAGCCATGAAGTCAACAAAAAAGGCTGGGTTAAAATTTAAAGTATAAATTTTGAACTTTTAATCAAACCACTGCATTGATAGATGGAAAAAAACTGTAACAACTAGGAAGAAAAGGAATTTCCTCAACTGTTGGGGGCAAAATATGAGCAGTTTTGAGTTGATTCAGAACCAGAATCTTTTTTTTTTTTGCAAATCA